CAGTGAAATGGGAAATTTTAATATTAGCCCAGAAAACTGAACTGTTGGTCCAAAGGATAAGGATAAGGATATCCCAAGACAGGAGCCACTGAGTTTGCTATCCCAAATATATTCCCTTGAAACACTGATGTTTATTATGAGAAGAGTATTTAGTAGCAGTGCAAACACATGTCCATGCAGATGGTCTGCACTGCTTTTACTCTGCAAAGCAATACAATTATGCATAGCTCCCATGGGGAAAAAAAAAAAACCAACAAAAGCCTGTTCAAAAAAGACAATTTTGGTGCTTTTTCTAGTGACTATAAACTGCCTAAATATATGGGAGATCAGAATTTGACCAATTACCATGTGCCTCGCTCCTTCAGTAGTTACTTTACTTAGAGTATTCAAAATCAACTACCTTTTAAAAGAAGAGGTCTTTTCTGCAGATAGAGCCCAGACTTATACAGATGTAAAACCTTTTCAAAAGCTCTCAGGGTTTCATTTATTCCATATCGTAAATCACCTACATTTAAGGAAAAAGATGACAAAGATAAGCAATTCCACAAAATTCCATTTAGAAACTTCCAATAGAGAAGTTTGTGAATATTAGCTGGTACCTGTTGCATTCAGAATATCACTCAAAAGGGGCCGCAAAGCTGGTGGTGCAGAGTGTGGCAAAAGATAGGTGAAAAAATACCTGAAAAAAATCCCACAGGCTGATTAGAATACAGTGCCTTCATTTCCCTGGTGATTAAGATGTCTAAATTTTCCCGTGACTTGATAATCCATATGCAACTAGTAAGGCTGCTTTGGTTATAAAGTTATGTTTGAGCACATCTTGGTGTCTCAGATGGTTCCTTGTGAGTTGGGCTGAAAGCCTGGTCCTTGCTGCATGAAATCTACCTTGCAAAACTTCATGCAATAAAGCCTCCCCTCATTCCCCTGGGCCATTTTTGTACACTGAGCAATGTATTTCCCACCAAAAAAAAAAATCTGTATAAAAGAAGACTCATACAAGATCTTTCTCTTACCCTGGAAAGGTCTGACCTTCTTATTGCCCCTGGAAAGTCAGGATGACTCATTTCCTGACCCTTCCACAAAATTCCTGTTCTAGGGAACAAGTGCACAAGAGACAAGTGCAACTCCAAGGCTGCAATAATCTATGCAAGGATTTGCCCTTTAGCACTGAATCCTGGAAATCCAGGCTCCCTTATGGAGTCCTTCTGTGTAAATATCCAAGCTGCAAAGTCTCCTTTCCAGGATGTGACCTGCCAAGCACCAATAGTGACCAGAAGTCCCTGCATTTTCAGCCTACACAAAGTGCTGCAGCAGCATTAGCCCTTTGCCTGTTACCTGCTCCAGTGCTCTTCCATAGGAGCCCATAGGGAGATTTGGAGATGCGGGAAAACGCTGCCCAGCCTGCTCCAAACAATGGGGACTCAAAACTGGTGGGGTTTTGCAGATAGCCTGCACTGCCACCGCTTTCAGCAAGCGCAGCCCATGGATGTCAAGCACCAAGGGTTGTTTGGCAAACAGCAGATTTACAGGTGCAAGCTCTAGGGCAAGTTTTTAGAGGGCGTTGGGGAAAGGGAGCAGCAGAAGAAAGATGCCTTCATTCTCACCAGACAACAATTACACTATTTTCCTGCCTTATAAGGAAAATAACTTGCTTCAAAGTGATCCCTAACTACCCTTTGACAGAGGTGAGGGGAATCACTGCATGGAAGAAGAACAAGGTGCTAGAGGCTTCATGGCAGGGCGTGAGCTCACCCACCCTAGACGTTCATTTTCCCCCATGTGGCTGGACATACCGATATGCATTGAACAGATTCTTCTTTTCATTTATTCCTTCGCATTTCCCAGCCACAGAGCATTTGAGAGGGAAACTTTTGGTAGGGAAGTCGAGTGTGCAGTCATTATCTTCCTTGCAAGACTGCTCCTCGGTGCTGGCATCATCCATGTCTGTCACTTTTAGGTTTCCATCCACCATAACAAACTGCCTTGGCTGGAAATCCAAGAGGACTATTGAACCCAGGGGGGAATGTGCCAAGTAAAACAGCAGTTTCACAAGACTCAGGCAAATCTGAGAAAGAGAAGATGAATATGCATGGAAAAAAACAGATGAAAAACAGCTATTAAATTGGAAGTAGAACAAAGAGGAGGGCATTCAATTAAATTAAAAGGGAAAAAAAGCATATAGAACTTAAAAGGTAATTATATGTATGCTACAAAATTTATTATCAACATTGCCACAGGATTTGACTGGTAAGTAGTTTAGCAACATTTTTTAAAAATGTGTGTACACAAAAAGAGACATTTGCAGTTAGAAGAACTAGAGGAGAAAGCTGTGAGGAAAACAATAGCAGCCTTCATGTTTCAGGAGCTATATTGATTTGCTAGCTGAAATCAGAAGGGTTTTTCCCAGTCTGGCACAAAATTAATAGATTCCCCTCCCTTCCCCCATGCTGCTCAATACAGACTGAGGCTCCATGGTCATTAATACCAGACCCATGCCTTGCTGCATCACTCAGCAGTATGAATTTGGGCACACAATCATGCTTCTGAAGAATTAGTCAAGGCTTGCAGTGCATTTATTGCCAGCTTTATTGTTTTTATGACAACTGGCAGCAGGGAAAGGGCAGGCAATACCTGACCCAGCAGAAAGTTTGGTAAATTATTTTAACCAAACTAGAGTTAGAGGAGTGCATTTATACTGCACCAGCACTTGGCTCAAGTAGCTTTCTGCAGCACTTTTCACTCAGTATCAGGAGCCTTGGCATCAGACAAAGTCTATCCTCAGCTAGGTGTGCCAGGCAGCCCCACGTCACCCCTCGCCACTGCCGATAGCGATCTGTGCAGGCGTGAGGGATTTTTCCTTTGGAACAGCTCACACAATCCCTGGTATCTGATGTGGCTCATCACAGGGGAATCCCATATGTTTAGACACCCTAATTAGGAAACAGGACTAGACAGTGCCAGTGTAAATTCTGAATTAGTGTCTTCTGCAGTCAAGAGATTATTAAGATCTCTAACGCCACCATATCAAACTTTATCACCAGCTAATCCAGCATCATGGGTTTCTTACAGGAGATTTTGGCACGTTTAAGAAGATGAGGTGCTAGGAAAGCTATGTAGAAGCCAGTATGAAATTGAAGAAAGTAAAACTCCCCAAGCCAAGAGAAATGACTGTGGAAGCTTTGATGCTATTTTAACTTGCTTAGTGAAGCAATCACAAGAATCCCAGCTTCGTGTCCCACAGATGAGCGAGTGGTTGCCACACTCCCCCTCTGGCTCAGATGGCAAAGCTCCCCTTCAACATTAAGGACCACATGCAGACAGGGATTTTATTTTAGGACTTTTGCTATGCTTTTGTTTTGCCCAAAGCATTTCTTCCTGACACTAAGATACCCTTGTTTTTTCACATGATGCTATTTTTCCTCCTGGCATCCAAACAAGTAATATTGAACCCCCAACCGAGCCCTTGAGGCAAACTGTGAAACAAGCTATAACCAAAGTAAGTGCCATGTCACAAGTAATTTCTGTTCCTGGGGAGCATATGGGTGCCTATGCAGGATGCCTAGCAGATGAGGCAGATCTCAGCAGAAGGGCTGCAATCCTAGCACCTACAGCAGGAGGAAAGCAGTTTATTAGCGATTTTACTACAGTAATTCTAAAAGGACCACAATCAGAAACACCACACAAGCACATGGTGAGGGTCAGCTTGCTCAGCTTGTTGCCTGGAACAGGTAACACACAGCAAACCACACACTCTGAGCATGGTGAGCTGGCTTTCCCAAGTTACGCTCGGGTTGCTGAGGGGCATCCTGACCAAAGCCCTTCTGCATTTATATAGAGGCAAAATAGAGGCAAAACTAACGTTATCGTGCAATGGGAGGTGTTAACCACCGGCCTGGCACCCAGCACGATTTTGTGTCTGTATCTCCTCCCAGATGAAGCTCTTTTAACACATCTCCGCTCTATGGAGAAAGAAACTAACCGTGAGACACCAAGCTAAGGCTGTGTTAATGTGATTTTAAAGGAATGAAAAGGAAACGATTTACAGACACTTTGCGAGATCAAACAGTGTCGGCAGAAGAATTCCGTTTGCCCCAGCGGTCACCACCGGCTCTTCGCCGTTTCGCCCAGTTTGTGGTCTAAAAGCGACCGATAAAACTTCTTTGCTTTGTTTTCTTACTTTAAATCTTTCCTCCCAGGGGGTCTGCAGGAGCTGAATCATCTCCAGCGGGGATCCCAGCTCCAGCATGGCTATGACCCGCAGCTCAGCATCTCCGCTGTTGTCATAGCATTGGCCGTGCAGCTGCGGGAGAGGAGAAGCGGTCGGGGCGATGTCGCCGCCAACTCCAGCACATCCCGGCCGCTCGGGGACAGCGGCACCAATTCCCCCGCCCCGCCGCGCCTCGGCAGCGCCTCCCGCAGCCCCCCAGCCCCTCGCTCGCCGTACCTTGACGATGCCGGGGTGCTGCAGGCGCTGCAGCAGCGTCACCTCCTTGAGCAGCTTGTAGGCGGCCAGGCGGCGGCAGCCGGCCGGGGCCCCGTAGCGCTGCACGCAGCGCCGCACCTCCCGGCCCGCCCCGTGCACCGACTTGAGGGCCACGCTGCCCCCGCCCGCCAGCGCCGCCCGCGACACCACCTTGGTGAAGCCCCAGCCCAGCACGCTGACAGCCGTCGCCCGGCTCAGGTCGCCGCAGCCCAGCCCTCCCGTGGCCGCCTCCCCGCCGCCCGCCGCCGCCTCCAGCCGCCGCAGGTCGCGCCGCCTCTGCCGCAGCTCCTCCCGCAAGCCCGGCGGCAGCAGGAGCGGCGGCGAGGAGCGCGGCTGCGCCTCACCGGCACCACCGGCACCGCCGCGGCCGGGCGGCAGCGCCAGCAGCGCCAGCAGCGCCAGGGCCGGCAGCGCCAGCAGCGCGGCCGCGCTCAGCCCGGCTCCGCGCCGCGCCCGCCCCGCCGCAGCCATGGAGAGCGGGCTGTGCCGCCCGCTCCGCCGCTCTGCCGCCCGCGCTCCGCCGCGCCGGGGAAGCCGAGCGCCGCCGAGGGGGCGTGTCGGGCTCCCCGCGCCCCCACCCCGCCGGCACGGCACGGCACGGCCCGGCCCTCGGGCGCACGGGGCAGCGGCGGCACGGACCGCCCAGGGAGCGGAGGAGGCGGTGCAGCCCCGGTGGTTCTGAAGGAGGTGGCCCGGGGTGGGAACCGGAGCCGCCGGGTGCGAGCGGCACATCCCCGCAGACACCCGCTCACTCTCTGCTATAGCAGAACACGCGGATTTCACGGGCGTGAATGTCGCCAGCCCTGCTAGAGGATACCGCACATTGCAGCCGGGGGATATACAATGGGTTTAAATCAGTGAGAACTGGGATAGCACGTTTCCCTGCCGCTTAGAACTCTCAGGTTAGGTTTCTAAGAAGAGCAAACACTGGCAGTTTCTTTTATTAGAAGGATAAACCCTATTAGGTTTCATCAGTAGTACAATGCCTAAGAAGGGAATCGGATTTTTTTCCAAAGGAAAAAAAATCAACCCAAACCCATCCTCCAGCAAAACCAGCCAATGCAGGCAGAAAACACACATTTCTCGTTTGTTTGTGAGGCGATCAGATCGATCAGTGTGGTGGCACAGCTCAGGGCTGCCTTCTGTGACACACGTGTACCTGCGGGACAGGAAAGCCTTTCCGACGCGGGTGCGAGAAGCAGGACAGGTGCCTGCCGCGGCTGTCACTGGTTTTAGACACGTGAATGCACGGGGCTGTGCTGTGCAGAAAGTCAGGTTACCTTAGGGCAAAGGCAGATGCTGTTAGTCTGCTTCTAATTTAGGCAATATGCAGTTAACTCTCCTCACTGAGCAGCCTGAAACACCAGCCAAATGGGTGGATTCACTTTTTTATTTATGTTTACGCTACTGGGTTAGAAATTAAAATAATGGTCTGCCTCTCCACCTAGTCTGCTTCATTTTCTGCCCTACTGTTTTCAGTGGCATAACTCGCCACTAGACCCTCCCCAGAAAGGGAGCAGGTGATGCATGGCACAGTTGGGGTGGAGGATGCTGCTGCCCTGTTCCTGAGAGCTTGCTGAGAGCTTGCAGCTTCTGGCAGTCACCCACTGGCACACAGTGAGTGAGATTGCACAGGGTGCCCTGGCTGTGATCAAGCAGTGGCACCTCTCAGTCCTGCAGTGCTGTACTGCGCTGGGACACATCTGCTCCATCTTCTCCCATCCACGCACAGCACTGCTAATACCTCTCTCCTGACTCACTCATAACACACTCTGTGTGCTCTGCTCAGGTCACAAGTCATCCCTGCAAAGGAACCTTTATGAAACATCCCTAAGAAATTCAACTTTAATGTCACAGCCAGAGGGATGGAGATTTTCAGAGATTACAGTAAATCAACTATCATGACTGGTGGCTATTTTAATAAAAATAATGTATATAAATGATCACTTAAATAGCTTCCTACCCAAAAGCCTGCAGAAAGTTTCCCTTTCACTTCTTGTTTATTCAATACCACTGGAGCAGTCAATGAGACCATAAGATCAAGCACAGTTGTTTGGTAAGAAAGCAGGAGAATTGAATTCTGAATTCAGGTCAGTTTCAGATGGCAGAGTTTGGGGAGGGAAAGCAAAACAAACGGTCTGCCTACATGTAAAATAATCAAGAGGAAAATCTCAGGTCTCCTGTGCTTACCCATGCACAGACAGGTTAGAAGCTGATCCCAGAACAGCTCTTTCAGTAGCTGAATTTCCTTTGTTGCTTTTTAACCTTAATAGCTCTTTAATTACTGTTCTTATTTTCAAATCAAGTGTACATCTGCGTCATATTAATGAATATTCATTGTCACTGGAGAGGTATTAAATGCATTTTTTACCTGTGTTTCCAAGGGAATAGATGCCAACTGTGTGCACTATTATCTAATTTCAGCCTGTCTTCAGCACTGTAATAGTATCAAGACCTATTAGAGAAGACTCACAGATACATAAAAATAACACTGAATGATTAGTTACTTGCTTTACAGTAGCACTTAAGGATTCCTGCCAAGATCGTAGCTCTGCTGTGAAAGGCTTTTTGCAGACTGTGGCAGAAGAAGCGGCCTTGCTTGACGTAGCTGACATCTGAAATGGGACACACTGGGAAGGGCTGCAGCAAGGATGGAGCAGTGGAGTATGTGGTCATTTGAGTGTCTTTTACTTCTTTGGAGGCTTCTGCCTGACCTTACTGCCTTTGATAGCACGTGAGCACTGTGTGGAGCACGTGTTACAGATACTTGCTTTGTGATTGTATGGTCTCAGCAGCGGGGGGCTGCTTAAACCCAGGGAAGGCCTCATGTTGCAGCTCTCATCATTACAACCCCTCCAAGTGCAAATCCACATATGGTTAACCTGTGTGCTTGCACTAGGCCCTCCAGCATCTTACACTTTCTTATCTACATTCATTCCTTTATAGGCTATAGATGGAGCAGAAGGCTGCCCACTGTTCAGAAACTATCAGGCTGTGCTATAATTTCAATGGGTGTGATTGAATCCCATGCTTCTTAGCTTCTTCTGGCTTCCTGCAAGGGCTGGAATGAGATTCCTCTCATGAAAAATTGTTCTGGCACTAATGCTAGCTGGGCTCCTTTCTCAAAATGTATGAGTTTGTACATGAAGTGTAGATGAAAAATTGGGAGTCTCCTGTGCTCCAGACTAACTGGGGTGAGAAAGCATCCCATTTTCCCATGACAGCACTGAAAGTGTTTGCCTGCTGAAAGACAGACACCTCTGGGTGCAATTTCCCTTGCTGGTTCCCTCCTATCCCAAGAGATCTAGGCAGGAGCATTTCCCTATTCATGTCTATAACACTGATCTAGAAGGGATAAGATCAAGCTCTTGGGTTAACATAAAAAACCTAGGAAGTAATCCTGGGGGGAAAGTTTTCACTCTGAGCACATACATGAAAGTCCTGGGCATCAGTCCAGAAGAGGGAGGCTAGGAGTTTATAGGTCTGGGAGAGGGATCAAAGAAACCTGCAGCAGCCACTTCAGAACAGGAGGAAGACTTAGACAGCTCTAATAAGGACTCTTGGGAATACATGTCATCACTGGTGCCCTTGCCTTTAAGGGCAGCAGTTACCTTGACTCCTGCCAGCTGAGCTTCTGGCTGTCTCCAGACAGTTCCTGTCCAGCTGCAAGTGTGCACATCTGGGGCAGGGTGAAAGCCAGAGGAGCTGCTGGAGGGCAGGCACTTACCTGCAGAGTGCAGGGGCAGGAGGCATCCTGAGCAGCCTGGCTTTGCACTTCCATGTCAACTGAGAAAGCTTCTTGCATCCAACCTCCAGACACTGGCCTGTGTGTGGCCATGCCTGGGTGGCACCCAGGAAAAAATCACCCCACCAGCCATTTCCAGATTTCTCTTTGTATTGCTCAAGAGCCAGGAGAAGGATAAGAAGAAAGTTAGATGCAGCTATGGTATCTTCCTACAAGCAAGTGAACTAGGGAGACAGACCTTGCTCTGCTTTTTTGCCTTACTGGACAGGAACCCTAGCCAAGGGCTTGGTGCAATAATGATTGCCCTAGAACTAAAATAATATGTTTCTCTTCCCCAGCAGGAAGAAAAACTGTCCTTTTCTGTGGTGTCCAAGACAGCTGCAGCTCCCAGGTGTTTTTATAGCCCATGGCAGGCACAGCTGTGTCTCCCTAGGCACTTCTGGTCTGAGGTTTCTCACCAGGGTTTAGCAAAGCTGATGCCAACACCCAGTTGGCATATAGGGCACTAGGAAGCAGCTTTCCTGAACTGCTCCGGTTTTGGTTTGGTTTGGTTGTTTTGTTTTTTTTTTTTTCAAGTGAGGGTTCATCTCCTGGCTAGAGGTGCAGGATGAAACCATGAGAATACTGCAGGGAATTTGTATGGCCCCACAGGCCATAATCTCCACCCAGTGGTACGAGGGCAGCTTGACTTCAGAGGTGAGCTGTGAAGGCTGAGGAGTGCTGCTGCTATTGGATACATTGGCAATGAGTGCTTGCCATCTGCTGGGAGGCAATCAGCCTGACAGGAGACACTTTCAGATGCAGGAAAAAGAGAAAGGCCTGGGCCAGTGGTCCCTGAAGAGCTGGATGGCATTTGGGCTTACAGAGAGAGAAGGAAGAGTATCCTCTGAGGAGGGTAAACACAACACAGTCAGGAAGCTCTGGACTTGGGCACATAAGGGCTGACAAAACTCACAGTAGGATTTTAACATGCTAGCACCCCCCCCTTGAGCCTTCCTTGGAGGTGCCTGACCTCATTGCAGAGATAGCAGAAGGCAGTTAAGTGTTTGTGTAATTAATGAATTTCAACTCTTTCACTGGTAGCACTGAGCAGAGCCCTGGTGTGGTGGCATCTCACATTTCCACAGCAGAATTTGCCAATTTGCCAGTGTCTGTCAAGATGTCTGTGTGCTGTTCACAGCATATGCCACTCCTGTCATAGATTCCCCACCTCTCATGGCACCAAGATACTGCCCTGCTCTTGACAGTCTCAGGATCCAGCCTCACTGGCACGGAACATCCCACTCTCTATTGTAGCAGCTCCTGGGAACACAAGTCCAGCTGAAGAGTCCTCAGTCTTCCCAATGAGATTTTATTAATGTCTAGGATGATGTAATCAGATTTCCAGCATAAGGTCTTGAAGAGCTGGTCTACTGCTAGATGGACTAAACCTTCCCCTGCAATGCAAGTACTGGTACCCAAGTGTAAGTCATATTAGTACACTGTGAGATATTGATTGCATTATCAAAAGCAGCATCAACCTCCTGGGGCTGCTATTCCACTGCTGCACTGAATGAGATGGTGTACAACAGGAGCAAAGTCAGGGAAAGCTCTGGGA